AGCAGACTGACTAATGCATCACCAAGTGTCAAGGGGCAGCTCCCAGGATACAGAGGCACCGGCTTGGGAGATAAAGAGGAAGGAGAATGAGTCAGCCTCCTAGGAGACGGGGAGAGAGGACATTTCAGGCTAGGGCATAGCACGTGCAAAGGCCCCAAGGCAGGAAAGCCTCTTCCCGTGCCCAGTGGCCTGGGACATATGCTCCCCCCACCCCACAGTGTGCACCATTTGTTAGCATGTATAGAACATAAGTACAGGGTGTCCTAAAGTTTGTGTGCAATTTACAGTGTAAAACTATTTATTGTATTTCTCAGTTCCTCAGCTGGACACGGGCTCCTTGAGGGTGGGGCTCATGTTTGTCCACCCAGCTCAGATGCCCACCTTATATACAGTGGCCACATCCACACAGAACTTTTCCTGGGGAAATGACCAGGGTACACACTGCCCTTCTCCCCCTGCCTTCTTCTGGCCTGATGGTGATACGATGCTTGGGGTTGCTGCAGCCACTCTGTGACCAGGTGGTGAGAGGTGGGAGGCAGAGGTGGACCTGATGGCCTTGAGCTCTCTCCCTTGCCTCTGCTGGTTCACACTGCTATGGTTGGGAGGCTGTGACTTTTGGCCAAATGCATTAAAGATGCACAGACTGGGAAGCATCGGCAGTTTTGCAGAGTGACTGGAAGCTGAGCTCAGCGGCCTGACCACCTGGGCATAAATCTTGCCCTCGCCTGCTGCAGCTGCCCGCCCTTCCGCACCTGTTCTGTGCCTTTGTTTGTTCACGTCTAAGGTGGGGAATGAAAGCAGCTGCTTTACAGGCCAGTGTGGCAGTTGTTGTGAGTGGACCCCTGTGGAGAGCTCAGGACCCTTCCCGCACGTGGTAGCAGCTGTGAGCCCTGGAGAGTGCACCTCTGTGAGACCTGCACCACCACGTCCATTGTGGGTGGAGCCTGCTGGTGCCCCATCGCTGGGCCTGCTCAGGGCAGAGAAGCAGGGAATGTCTGTGGGGGCCAGTTGAACAGATGTCCAACACTGCGCTGGGCCTGTCAAAGCAGGCAGCTGAGGCCAGTCAGGTGCAGGCGTCACGTCAGGGGCTCAGCAGCAGCAGCTGTTGTTAACCTGTCGCTTGCTCTCCCCAGATGCTTAGTTCAGAGGAGCCTTTGCAGAGCCGCTGGTGCACTGGAGGGCTGTGGGCTGAGCTGGGGCAGATAAGCCCCGAGGGGCACCCTGGCATTTGTTCAGGGTTGACACTCCCCTCCCAGGGCAGGGCATCTGAGTCTTAGGGGTTTCTGAGGGGCTCATGAGCCTTCCTGGTGATAAAAGTGCCAAGGTCCTGCAGGGGCTCACTACTCTCAGGGAGGAGATAGGGCAGCCTGAGGGGGGAGCCGCCTTGGCTAGAGGTCAACAGTGCAGGCCTGGCTGTCCCTCCTCTGCTGTGACTGTCTTTCTGTCTGTGACTGCTATTTCTAAGACCACCTCCTTCCCCGAGGAAAGGGCCCGGCAGAGCTGCAGGTGGGCGAGCCAGGAAGGCTAACTTTGGCATCTAACACAGAGGACAGCTGGTGTTTAAACTAGTCTTATACTTATTAAGGGGTTCAACCTGATAAAGTTAAGTTGGGGCGTTGGGAAGATGAACTAATATTCTGAGTAAGAATTTATTACGAGTAAGTTAATACTTATTGGCAGCAGAACCATTGACAATGGTCAGTGCCCAAGTTTTTCCTCAACGGGCCGCCAAGTTCCCACTCAGAGACAGCGGGAGGTGGCTTCTCCAACACCACACCACAAGCACTGAACCCACATGGTGGAGACCTGGGTGCAGAGGCTGAGCCCCTGGGTGCTGGGGGCACTGGACGCAGGCACGATACTGCTGTGCCCAGCCCTGGGGGAGGAAGTGGATAGGGAAAGCTGGCAGGGGGAAACCTGGATGGGGAAGTCCTATCTGGAAGCCCAAACTTATGAGTCAGAACAGTGCAGTGAAGCTTGGGTGGGTGGTGAGAGGGTGCAGGGCCAGGCTCCTACTTCCTGTCCATCCAGGGCCCTGAGACACCCATGGACTTCAGACCCCACTGAGCACACAGCAAAGATCCTCCTGGGCCTCTCATGCTGTCCAGTTGGACTGTTTCTGGGGGCGGAGGAGCTAATTTTAGTTCTACTTCTGGTGAACTTGAAATCAGCACAACTTCATCACTTCATGGAAACGTCTGCAGTGCACAGACCTGCAGGGATTCCGCGGGGCCCTTACCCATTAACCTCAACGCAGGGGGCTCAGGGTCACTTTAATGCCAGGGAAAGAGGCCCTGGTGGAAGTGACCACTTGATGAAGACAGTGACCACACATTAACTGCCAGAGGTTTCTGGCAGCTGGGAGCTTGTGAAGACCAGGCCCCCTTCCTGTGTGCTAAACTGCTGCCACCCTTGTGCCCTGGGACATGTGTCAGGGTTGGGGACTGACTGGTAAGAAGCTCCTCGGGGGTTTCGTGAGGGCTCTTGGGAAGGGCGTGCTCCCTCCCCTAGTGGATTCTAGAAAACACTGTCTCAACCATAGCACTGCCGTCCCCCTCTCCAGGCAGCACCTGTGGCAGGTTCCTGCAGCCTGCCCACCCGGGGATCTAGCGGCAGTGGCAGGAGTGGGCACATGCTTGACCCTAGACTACAGAGGGCTGGCCACCACCACCAGCCACATTGTCCCAGCCGAGCAGTGCCAGTGATCAGCAGGGGCCGAGGAGGATTCCATACAATTGAGGGGAGACAGGCTGGGGGAGGATGTGGGGTGACCATCGGAACCTCATAGGATCCTCGGCCCCAGCTCTGCTTGTACTGGTCCCCACGAACCTGCAAACCGTCAAAAGTTCTCCGCTGAGTCAACATTTAATTTTCTATTTGTTTTCCATCACAATACACTTCCAGCCCTTCATCAGCCTCTCCTTCCGAATAACGGCTAATTCCTGGCTGTGGTTTCTCCTTACCCCACAGAGGTGTGGTGTAAAACCCGTCTGTTATTGTAGCTGACTGATGGGAGGGCAGGACCTGGAGGGATGATTTCCAAGTCCTGGGAGTTTGCTGCTGAGAGGGGCGAGCACTGCCCTGGCCCTGGGCGGTCCTGCTGGGGCCCAGGTGGCCTTTAACCCAGCACAGTCCTTGGAAAACTGGGGAGAGATGGGGAGGACTTGCTGGAGAGCAAAGGATTGGCTTGGGGGCTCTGAGCTTATAGGCCTGCTGAGCCTGCTGGGATTTCTGAGGCAGGGACATGGCTGAGCCCGTTGCTCATGTGGGAAGACTTTCACTACTGATTTTTAAAAAAAATAAGACATGAGAGGTTTGATTTGTGATAGAAAGAAAATCCCAGTGTCTTTAAATAGTACCCTGGTCTCAGGGAGAGAGGCTGCACTTTGGTGCCCACTGCCCACCCCACGCCCAGCCCCGCCAGCTTTGGCCACCCTCTTTCCTCACTGCTGTCTGCTTGTAGTTAATTTGTCCACCCACTGTCTGCCCCTCAAGGAACTCCAGGGACTAGTGGCCCAAGGTTCTGGCAGAAATAATGTCACATCTGTCCTCTTCAGTGACACACGACTCGCCCCTGCCGCACCTCTCGATGCTGAAAGATGATTCATCAACAACAGGTCACCTTGCTGAAACAGCAGCCCCTGGAGATGGACTGTGACAGCCACCTCTGGCAGCTTTGGGGAAGTGATGACCGATGTTTGCCTTCCCATCCCAGAGCCAGGCTCCCGCTGAGCCTCCCTGCAGCCCCGCTGGGCACACACCTCTCCCTGAGCTCTGCATTCCAGTGTAGAGACTGCCCAGGCTCGCTGTGCACCCCAGGCCTCTTGTAGGCTGCCTGGCCTGGGCACTGGTCAGAGAGCCGGGGTGGGGTTGCTGGCTACAATATAGGACACCTAGTCAAACCTACAGTTAACCCAGTGAGACTCTGCTGCAGCATAAGCAAGCCGCACATGGTGTTTGGGACGTACTTAAAAAGTTTGCTGCCTGTCTGAACTTCAAGTTCACCTGGTGGCCCCAGCAGAGGTCCCTGCAGTAATCTCAGCTCCCTCCTAACCTTGCCCAACCCAAGCTGGCAAAGGCTTGTCCCAACCAAGAAGAAGGGACCCCTGCCCTGCAGGAGACACCCAGTGGGGAGTTGCGCTTCCCGAACAGAAACCTTCTGGGGCCTGTTAGCAGCTCACCAGGCCCCGTTGCAGTTCTTGCCAGGGGGTAGAGACTTCTGGGCTCCCACCTGCACACGCTGAGGGCTCTGGGCAGCTCACCTCACCGCCTCAGGGCTGGAGTCTCCTTGTTGTTGAAGGGCTGGGGGTTGACTGCTTCTTGGTAGTTAGAGGGTGCAGTCACGAGACATGGCCCTCCCTGAACACGGGCCCCCGGCATGTGTGCAGTTGGCATTTGTGCCACACTGAGGTCTGGGGGGCACAGGCTATAGGGTTAGCTCTGACAGGACAGAGAAACTTGGCCACACAGGCTCGCTTCCTGGGGACTTGGCCCTTGTTTGCTTCCCACTGGGCTTGGAACCAGATCCCATGGGTAGCCCATGAGACCTCAAATGGTCTGAGGAGGCCTCGTCTCCTGCCCCAGGACCTTGGCACATGCCCCTTCCTCTCTTTGGGAACCGTTCCTTCTCAGACTTCAGCTCCTCTTTGGGCACTGTTCCTTTTCAGATTTCAGCTCCCAAAGAGGGGTGTCCCCTACAGACAGCCGTGCACAGGACCCACCATGCCTATCGTCACTGTGGTTGCTCTGTTCTCATGTCTTACGCCGAGTTTATCCCATTCTGGACCCTGAGGTCCAGGAGAGAGGGCCCCAGGTAAACACCTGCTAAGTCGTATGTCGTGTGTTTGCATGAAGGCCCCATGGCGCCATCTCGGTGATGGGGGCTGAGCAGCCCTTCTCAGCTGCTGGGGACCCACTCCCCAGACCCTGTCTGTCCCACACCCAGCAGAGCTGGCAGGCCCCCCTGGAACCAACCACAGCTTCCCTGAGCTCGGGCTCACCTGGCTTGGAGCCCTCGTCCACAGAGCCGTTGTACACCTGGTTGAGGAACTCGGGGCGGTTGTCATTCATGTCAATCACGTAGATGTACAGGTCGATGGGGTTCTCCACCTTGTTGCCATTCATGTCCACGGCGTGTGCGCGGAGCTGAGGACAGCACAGACGTGTCAGAGCCCAGCGCACTCGGGTGACACCCCTGCCTTGGTCCAGCTTGGACCTCCAGCACCTGTGGGGACCATTCCCACCTTGGACCTCCAGGACCTGTGGGGACCATTCCCACCTCAGACCTCCAGGACCTGTGGTGACCATTCCCACCTCGGACCTCCAGCGCCTGTGGGGACCATTCCCACCTTGGACCTCCAGGACCTGTGGGGACCATTCCCACCTCGGACCTCCAGGGCCTTTGGGGACCATTCTCATCTCGGACCTCCAGCGCCTGTGGGGACCATTCCCACCTTGGACCTCTAGGACCTGTGGGGACCATTCCCACCTTAGACCTCCAGGACCTGTGGGGACTATTCCCACCTCGGACCTCAGGGGCCTTCCGGAACCAGTCCTAGTGCTACTGACTGTACTTATCAAATGTCTGCAGCAGGACAGGCATCCCTTGAAACGGGAGCTCATGTCCACTCCCAACAGCCACAGAAAAGCCATTTGTGTCCAGTGGTGTGGGGGGGCTTACACTGCGGCTACCAGGAGGCTGAGGCTGGCAGCAGGGGCAGGCACCTGCCTTTGCTAGTTAACTCCTGGGTTTGACATATGGGGAAATGAGTGGTCAGAGAGGGAATAACCCCAGGAAAGGTGGGACAGGGGCACGGGTTCCAGGGACATCAGAGGGTACAAAGCAACAGTATTAAGGACACACAATTTAAAGGGCAAATTGTGTCGGACTGTACCCAGGGAGGCTGTGTACCCAGGGAGGCTGTACCCAGGGAGGCTGTGTACCCAGGGAAGCTGTGTACCCAGGGAGGCTGTACCCAGGGAGGCTGTGTACCCAGGGAGGCTGTGTACCCAGGGAGGCTGTACCCAGGGAGGCTGTGTACCCAGGGAGGCTATACCCAGGGAGGCTGTGCTCGGTAATAGGAGACGGATTAGGCTGAGACCCGGGGGACATGCAGACTGCCACGCAAGATGTGGCTATGCACGTGGCCACATCAACTGCAAGTTTCATGCTTGACGATCCTGAAACACCGCCTGCCCTTTCAACCAGCTGCCCGCACCCCTGTCGCTCCTCAGACCCGGACGGATGTGCAGCCCCACCGCGCTGCATGGGCACTTCCATCGGTGGCCAGGTGATCCTTCATCTTGTCAAATGCACCCAGGCAATCACACACCCAGTCAAAGGTCGAGGGCTTTTGAAAACAAGTAATTCTGAGCTAAAATTAAAGTTATTATCTCCTAACTAAGACCATGCTGCCGGTTCTAGGCGCTATCTTTAGTGGCAGCAGCAGCCCCAGAGCAGATAATGGAGACGCAGCTACCAGGCTGCCTGCTTCTGCTGTCCCACTCCCGGCCCCCCAGTTCTAATTACACTCGGCAGCTTCTGTGGGAGTCCCTGGGGAAAGGCTTCTCCCCGCCCACCTCTTGGGGCACACTGCTAGGGGTTTGGGGGTTTTTGCCCTGGTGGTGGGGGAGGCGGCATCTCAGCTGAGTCCTCTTGAGCTTCTGCAGCCTGCAGGTCTCAGCGCCAAGCAAAGTGAGCTCCCCACGACGCTGTGGGCCGGACACATCCCTGTTCTCCCCCTGGGGGAGGGGACTAGGCGTAAGGTACGGGCTTGGTCCTGCATGGCAGGGCTGGGGGTGTGTGCTCGGGAGGAGGTGCGTCTCTGACTGAGGACGGTGCGGGCACAGCGTGTGCTGACCGAGGACCGTGCGGGCACAGCGTGTGCTGACCGAGGACGGTGCGGGCACAGCGTGTGCTGACCGAGGACGGTGCGGGCACAGCGTGTGCTGACCGAGGACGGTGCGGGCACAGCGTCTGTGAGGTACTCCCGTCCCCTCTGGCCGTTCTCCTCTTAGCTTTACATATTGAAATTCTTAATAAGCTGTAGATGACACCCAGGCATTTCTCTTTGCACTGGGATCTGGAACCTGTGGCTATCCTGGGTGGGTAAGGAGCTGAGCTGGGGCAGGCCCAGAGCAGGCGGCAGCAGAGCTCCTGCCAGCTGTCACAGTGGTCAGAGCCCCAGGCATGACCGTGGGCAAGTGGCCCCAAGGTGTTAAGCCTACCAGGGGTTTTGTTAAACACCCCATGTTCAGAGAAAGGGTTCCTGAAGATGCAGGAGAAGCAAGCCTGGGAGACCTCAGGCTACAGCTCAGCACCAGGAGGGCGGCCAGGGCTGTGCACAAGGCAGTGGGATCAGGTGTGGAGACCAAGGCGCCCATCTAGCAGGAAGCCACAGCACGGTGGGTCCCAGTCCTGATATCATGGCCCCCAGGAGACGATAGGGAGGGATGGCTCAGGTCAAGAAAGAAGGCATGCTTTTGTAGTGGCCGCGATAACTAACCAGGAATCTGCTCTCAGAAAGGTGAGTGTAAATCAGCCGGCCTCATTCCGTGGCGGCCGTGGAGAGGCAGAGAGCTCTGATTTGCATGGAGGGTGAGGCTCCTGAGCAGCCAGCTAAATGAGAAGGGCAAGGGGATGTAGGGGCTGTCCTGGGGGGCCATGCAGAGACTGGGGCTCACTGCACCCTCATTCTGGGGGGCAGGCCCCAATCATGGGGGGGACCATGCCTCTAGACGAGGGCACCAGTACCCGTGAAGAATGAATCTTGGAAGGGGCCTATGCGTGTCGGAGGGCGGACACAGACAGGAGGGAGGGAGGGAGGGCTGAGAGGGAAGGGACAGTGGGAGAGGGAAGGGTGGGGGGACAGAGAGGAGTCAGTGTGCCTCTGGCGTCTGGCCACGCAGTCCTTGTGAGTGGTGCCGTGAGAACAGCTGAAAGAAAAGTGTACACCTGGTTTTCAGGGGTGCCTGGACGTCAAAGAGGGAGCTAGGGCCCTGCCAGCCCCTCTCTGGGGAAAGACATCCTGAAATTGCTTCCACTGAAGCCAGCAGCAGAGGCTTCCCGGGCTGTCTGTGCTTTCGTGCCTGAGCCTGCACCTAAAATGACTTGACAGCCCTCATGGGCATGCGTGCCGCAGATGCCGACTCCCAAATCACTTTCCTCCCTGTTCCTGCACACTGTGAGCAAAGTCACCGTCCTCGCTCAGAAAGGACACAGCGATTTTCCTTTAGATACTCAAGCACCCAAGGGAAATCTCTCTTTCCATCCAGCTGACGCACCAGCCTACTTCCTTTGTAGCACCTCTCCTGGCTCCAGCCTCCACTATCTAAGAGACAAAGTTAGGAGGGTGCCAGATGCCCCCTCAGATGGTGTCTGGGCAGGGGGCATTCTGTTGGGGGCTGCACCTGCCGTTCCCAATACTTGTCTGGTGCTGAAGAATCTGGGGATGCAGCCTTCCTTAGGGCCTTCAGGCCAAGAAGCACCCAGTGCCCCTTCATCTCGTGAATGTGCAAGGCCCTCCAAAGTGGGATCAGGTCTGGCCTATTCACCTTTACTTGCCCAGCACCTAACACAGGGCCGGGTACTCAGAGCTCAAGAAAAGTTCCATGGATGGATGAATAGATAGGTGTGTGACTGGATGAGTGTAGAGTTGGATAGAATGATGGGCAGGTGGATGGATAAATGGATGGATGGATAATCAGATCGATGGATGGGTGGATGGATAAGTGGATGGATGGATGGATAATTACATGGATGGGTAGATGAATAGATAAGTGGATGTATGGGTGGATGGATCAATAATTGGATGGATGAGTGGACAGATGGTTAGATGGAAGGATAAGTGGATAGATGGGTAGTTGGATGGAGGAGTGGATGGAAAGTTGGATGAATGGGTAGATGGATGGATAATTAGATGGATAGGTGGATGGATAGGTAAGTGGATGGGTGGGTGGATGAGGTAAGTGGATGGGTGGGTGGATGGATGGATAATTGCATGGATGGATGGGTAGATGGATGGATGGATGGATAAGTGGACAATGAATGGATGGATGGTTGAATAGTTGGGTAGATAGAGGGATGGGCAGATGGATGGATGGACACATAGGAGATCAAGTGGGCAGACAGAGGGAAGAGTCCGAAAATGTAGGCCAGGTTTCTCTTGGCAGAGAATGTAAAGAGAGAAGTCTGAGTCCAGTGAGCTTACTGACGTGTATCTGCTTAAGGGCAGAGACCACAGGGTGTGTGGAACCCCCTAGTCCATGTGAACAGTGCCTGTGAAGCTGTGGCCACTGGGCAGCCAGTCTGAGGGAGGAAATCTGTGGCTATGAAGGGACTAGGCAGTCTCCCAGAGCAGGCTCCAGGGTCCCTTTAGCCTCCACTTCTGGTGGTGCCTGGACCCTTGGGGAGGTCACCATGGGCAGTGGAAGAACCAGCCTCCTCCTACTGAGGTCCTCCCGTCTGTGAGTGCCCAGTGAGCCACTGAGGGCCAGGCTCTGTTTTCGGGCCTGGGATATGGTGTGGACAAGCCTGGCAACTCCTCCACCCACACAGAGCTGTCTCCTGGTGAGAGGAGATTGAACAGTGGATCCCCAACACTCAGCAAACATGGGAAGCACCAGGGCTGGTCTAGTCCACACCATGTGCTGAAGCCAGGTAAAGGCAGACCAGTTAACCCTGCACAACAGCATCAGGACAGAAAACAAAGGCCTCTATCTTTGTTCCCAAATTCCTCAGCTGAGTAGCTGAGGGCTCAGGTATCATGATGGTCACCCCAATGTACACAGCCCCTGCTAGTGCTGGGCTCTGCTCTAGGGCTGCACTCCTGGGAGTGCTCAGGTATCATGACAGTCACCCCAACATACACAGCCCCTGCTAGTGCTGGGTTCTGCTCTAGGGCTGCACTCCTGGGAGTGCTCAGGTATCATGACAGTCACCCCAACATACACAGCCCCTGCTAGTGCTGGGCTCTGCTCTAGGGCTGCACTCCTGGGAGTGCTCAGGCAACCCCAGGAGCTGCTGCCATCATCTGAGTCTGTCCACTTAGCAGGATAGAGACCTCCAGCTGGAGGGGAAAGTGGTTTGCCTGAGGGCTCCCACCCGGGGAGGGTGGGGCTTACACCTAGGGAAGGGGTGGGACTCCCACCTGGGGAGGGTCAGGGTTCCCACCTGGAGAACAGTGGGGCTTCCACCTGGAGAAGGGTGGGGCTCACACCTAGGAAAGGGGTGGGACTCCCACCTGGGGAGGTGTAGGGGCCCCACCTGGAGAGCAGTGGGGCTCACACCTGGAGAGGGGTGGGGGGGTCACACCTGGAGAAGGGTAGGGCTCATACTTGGAGAGGGGAGGGGATCACACCTGGAGGGGGTGGGGCTCATACTTGGAGAAGAGCAGGTCTCACACCTGGAGAGGGTTGAGGCTTATGCCTGGAGGGGGAGGCTGGTTTGACCCTCAGTCTGGCCCTGGTCTGTGCTGCCTCTGGCAGGTGCAGTGCCTCCTCTGCCTGTGGGGGGCGGAGCCCAGGGGACTATGCTTCTGGCATCACTGGACCAAGGGACAGCGAGACTAGTGCACCCAGCTGGGGCCCCCTCTCTCCAGCCAGGGTCAGAATGGCCAAGGAGGAGACAGACACCACCCCTCCAAGCCACTGTCTCCAGCCTCCATCCTTCTCACCTGTGACTTTGCCATGCACAGCCTGTGAGACTGACCCAGAGCAGGTCCCGTCTCAGAGGTGCTTCCCACTGTCAGAGAGGCGGGAGGAAGGAAATGAGAGGGTGGGGTGGGAGGGGCCCATGGTGTGCAGCAGCCTGGGCCCCCAGCAGAGGCTACCCAGGAGGCTGTGGGTTTGGAGACTTTTTAGACCGGTGGTTCTCCCTGTGTGGTCCCAGGCCTGAGCAGGCATCCCTCTGCGAATGTGTTAGAACACAAATTAGCAGACCCATCCTAGGACCACTCAGTCAAAAACCCTGGGGGTGGCATCCAGTGACTCAGATTTCCCTAGCATTCCAGAAGTTTCTAGTGCAGGCCAAATTTGGAGGCCTCCTTGTGCATTAGGGACCCTGAGGCCAGGCAGGCACCTGCCTTGATGAGGGCCCAGCCAGGCCTGGCAGCACTGAGATTGGCCAGGTTTGGCGACCCTCTGTCCTGCCCTAGTGGAGACACTCACATGGTATGAGGCTCGCTCCTCTCGGTCCATGGGCCGAGTGACGTACATGCGGCCGGACATGGAGTCGATGCTGAAGACCTCCATGGGGGGCTGGTCGGCGCCCACGCCTGTGATGCTGTATCGGATGGGGATGTCATTGTCCTTGTCAGACCGGATCTGGAGGAGGAGCAGAGAGAGAAGAGGTCAGTCTGTGTGCCCAAGATGCCACCCATCCCTGAACTTGTCACATGTGACCATTCCCAGGAGGACAGCCAATGGTCGGGGACTCACTGAGGGGCCTGAGGCCCACCAGCTAACAGGGAAGAACATGGTATCATACTTTGAGTTCAGTGCGAGTGCAGGGAGCTGGGACTCCAGATGGAGATCAGGACGCAGACAGAAATAAAAATGACGGCAAGAATGGCCTGACGTGGGCCCTCAAAGGCAGGAAAAGACACAGGTGAGGAGACAGCAGCTGCACAGAGCTCTGAGGGAGAACGCTGGGACCAAGGTCTCAGCAGTGTGTGAAGGCCACAGACGTTTTTGGATATATATAGGTCACTATGAAAGTTTTGAGACAGACTGTGTTGGGGCCCATTATTTCGCTTCCAAGAAACACAGTCAAGAGTGCTTTCTGATTCACCTGTGCACGTTTCACTTGCTCAGCTTACTGTGTTGCCAGGACGGCTTCATAGGCTTCTGTCTACGTGGATTTTATGATTCTTGATTTTTGTGTAGCTCAAAACTTTGGTAATGTCCCATGTGAAAAGACTGAGAACATACCCCGGCTTCCGGCTTTTTTCATAGAAGCCCTGGAAGATACGATCCCATCTCCTGTGCGGTAACTCCCCATTAGGGTCTCAAGAATGGGGGGCCATTCTTGAGGTGACCCACGCTTAGACACTCATTTAACACGGAAGGGCATCATTGTCATGGTTTAAAGCTAAATACGAACATTAAAGTACATTTCACGGAGAAAGCTACTGTTTAAATAGAATTTAACAATGGTTCCTGGGATCCTCAATCCAGAGTAAGCCAGAAAAGACCCATAACTGTGGCAGAAACGGAAACACCACAGACAAGCATGAAATGTGGGGCGGGGTTAGGTTAGGCAGGGGCGTCGTTTAATTGTTGACATTAGCACTGAAAATAAGACATGTCTTCCTGGAGGGGGGTGGATGGGTGGAGGTAGGGTGACTGGAGGGATCACCTCGGTGGTTTATCTTACAAGGGTACAAGTGAATCTTTCTGAAAGTAGAATATACACGTCTTAACACAATAACTAGGAAAATGACAGAAAGGCTATGTTAACCAGTTTGATGAAAATATTTCAAATTGTATATGAAAACACCACACTGTACCCCATGATTGCATTAATGTACACAGCTATCATTTAATAATAATAAAAAAAGACACGTCTTCCTTTTTGATGAAGCAAAACATCTTGTAATGAAAAGGGGAAGCTGGTGGAGACATGGCCACCCACCCACATTTGGGCACATCTTGGAGCCTGGAGGGCTCCCTGGGGGAAGTATAGGGAGGCCACAAGGATCTAGAAATACAGGGTGTGCAGAAAGTTTGCCTGCAATGGTTTATTTTTAAATCACGCACAAACTTTATGGACACCCTGGATAACTGACCAGGTGGAATTAATAGATCTTCATCCAAATTTGAAAACACCTTTAGAAAATACTAACCCCACACTGTACCCCAGAAGTGCATTAATGTACATAGTTACCGTTCAATAAAAAAAAGAAAAAAAAAAAAAAAAAAAAGAAATACTACGTTTGGGCTTGGTGTGGTGGCTCATGCCTGTAATCTCAGCACTCTAAGAGGCCAAGGAGGGTGGATTGCAAGAGCGACACTCTGACTTCACTAAAAATAGAAAAACTAGCTGGTGTGGTGGTAGGCATCTCTAGTCCTAGCTACTTAGGAGGCGGAGGCAGAAGGATCACTTGAACCCAGGAGTTTGAGGTTGCTGTGAGCTAGGCTGAGGCTACTACTGCACTCTACCCAGGTTGAGAGTAAGACTCTGTCTTGAAAAAAACAAAACAAAACAAAAAACAACTCCTTTTTTCCCCTTAAAGCTCATGATACCATGACAACATGTTTATAATAAAGTAGACAGTACTAGAAACTTGAAAAGTATTCTATAAAGCAAAATTGACCAGGTCTTTTATTGAAATGATGTAATTAAAATTTAATGATGAAACTGAAAACAAAAAGACCTTTTAGAAACCTAAAAGGCATTGTGAAATAACCATCAGGTCAAATAAGAATCAATATTGCTTTAGAGGCTATTTAATCATGTTTAGTAATACAGCTAACAGACTCTTACACAGTAGAACCCAGAGGCTGAGTCTTCTTTTCATCCCTGACACAGAATTATAGCAAATGAACAACACACTCAGTCCAGAGGGGATGGAACCAGAGAGATTGGTATGTCACCAGCAGAGTCACCAAGAATGAAGAGACAGAAATGTACGGTCTGGGAACCAACTTCAAAGAGCCAAGGGTGTCTAGGAGTTCTCTGGTACTTCTCCTGAACAGAGGATGGGACCTAGACAGGCACTCCCAGGAACACGTCCAAGATGAGAAAACTAGGCCCGGCAGACGACATTTTCCTGAACCAGCATCTCCTGGTGACTGGCTGGCTCAGGCCTGACTGAGTCAAGATCATGCTGGTCAGCATGGAGCCACCCCAGGACCGCAGTGTTTGGTTGGGAGGAAGTTGGCACCTCTGAGTGAGAGGTAGGGACGATCGTCCTGTGTAGCCTTATGGGGGTGAACATGAATTCGGGGCCCACACTGGCGCTGACCAGGGCCCCTAGGGGCCGAAGCAGGCAGTCTGCCTTGGTGCGCACACACTTGCGGGCATACTGACACATCCACATGGCCTGAGAGGAGCCTCTGTGTCCTGGCCCCCAGGCACCTGCCGGAGTGGTGCACAGCATTCAGGGCTGCGTGGAGAGCACCTGGGGGCTGGCAGGGCGGGCCTGGCAGCAGAAATGCGGAGATCTGCTTGCTCTGGGCTCAGGGCCGCCGCACTTTGCCTGGTCATTGCAGGCATCGTGGGAGAGGCTCTGCCTGAGTCTTACCAGCTCTGCCTCTACGGCTGGAGGTCACCAAGCACCGCCCTTTCAGGGCAGGCCTGGCAGAGGCCGCTGTTCTTCCTGGAGATGCTCTCTGCTCTACCCAGGGCAGTTTTCACCAAGATCTGGTCCCTGGGTCCCTGGGTCCCTGGGGCCAAGTCTGGATGAGAGGGAGAGCCCCTCCCTCGGTCTCCGCTGACTTACTGGTTGGGGTGGGGAGAAGGGCTAAGATCACCACCTACCAGGAGAGCCAGAAAGCTCTAGGGCCCTGTGAGTTTGAGAGCTTTAACTTTGGTTCAGAGAGGGCACTGCCCGGCTGCCCTGGACTGGGGAAGCACATGGAGGCAGGGCAGTGGAAGGACAGGTGATCTGCTGCGTGCTATGGCTGCGTTTATATCTTGTACACATACATTTAATTATAAAACTGCTGGCCAAAACATACTTAACGGCTTTTTTTTTTGTTTGTTTTTTTGTGTTTATTTTTTGCAAACAAACTCACTACATTTTGACCACCGGGCTGCTCTTGCTTCATCCCTGTATTCTGAAATACGCTGGGGGCCGGGTGCCAAACATGGCGGGTGCGGGGCCCTGAGCGTCGGCCCTCAGAACACTCTGGATTCTCCCACAGTTTACAGCACTAGGAAAAAATACTGTGCTAACAAATGCACTGTTAGGCTACAGGGCAGTAAGGAGGCCCTAAAACAATGAAAACATTCTACCCGCATATCAGACTCTTGCACCTGGAGGCAACACCCTACCCTCTCCCTACTCCCTCATACCCGCGCTAAAAATAACCGTCGCAAAAAAAAGTCCCCGGAGCAAAACTGCCCAGCAACCCTGCAAGTTATGCATTCCCCAATCACCAACCGCCTCATACCCTAACGCCCCCTCACCCCCCCTGCATGTAGTTTTTCGCCTTAAAAGCAGCCTGTAACGGCCTCTAAGGGTTCCTTCCCCCTTGTGGCTGAGGAACCCTGACGCGCCAGCAATAAACCTGCCTCTTGCTTTTTGCATCGATTTGTGATTGTGAGTGGTCTTTGGGTAGGCGACCCCCGGGGTGGGCACAACAGCACCAGGTTGGAGGGAGCAGCTTCCCCTTGGTTTGTGCCTGGTAAAGGCGGAAACACCACGGAGGCTCCTGATAGGCCACGAAAAGCCTCCACAGAGGCTCCTGATAGGCCAGGAAAAGGAATTCAGGCGGCCGCCACGCACTGCTTTACGGTGCCACAGAGACCTGTGCTCTTTTGCATTTGTTAGTAAAGGACGGAACAGATGGTGAAAGGTTCGTTTCAGTGATGTCTACATTAAAATAACTTATGGTGCCCGGCGATTGTGTGCGCCCAGGGACTGCTGCTTGGAAGGCCGGCTCCCGTCCTTAGAAGAGGCTGGAAGTGAAGGATTCTGGCAGAATCTCCCCCAAGGAGGAGTATTTGCCTAATTTTAAATGAACTTGAATCTAGAGAAAAGTCACATGTGTGGGTCTGAATTGCAAACACCTTAGAGGTTTACTCCCAAAGCATTTGGGGAAGAAGCTAGGACAGAGAATCACAGCCAGATTCCAGAAAACATCTCAGAGGAGGAGGGACCGCCCTCCAGGAAAGGACCCTGGGGGTGGGGGTGCTGCCCCCCAGCTGCAGCTGTCCCTGTCCTGTCCGCAGGGGGCACAACGCCTCACTCAGCCCAGGAAACCCGTCTGTGCCCAGCGTCACACCTGGCGCGCCTGCCCGCCGGACCAGATCAGAGCTCGGCCCAGAGGTGACACCCTCTCACTCTGTGATGGCACATTAGGGTAGGGACAGTCAGGGGGGAGCAGGGTCTGGGGGGCCTGTGGTGTGCGGCAAGGAGGGCGTTCGAGGACGTCAGGTTCAGAGTGTGTCTGCTGGGTCTTGTCCAAATACACACCCAGAACACAGATATACTGCACACACAGACCCATAGACATACACCCCCAGAACACAGATATACTACACACACAGACACACAGATATACACACAAACACACAAACATACACCCCCAGAACACAGATATACTGCACACACAGATCCACAGACATACACACACAGACCCACAGACTTACACCCCCA